GCCTTCTCTCCTCCAGGCTGAACAAGCCCAGCTCCCTCAGCCTCTCCTCGTATGGCAGCAGTGCTGGTGCCATGGCCTGGGGAGAGGCCTGGCTGTGGTGTCCCCATCCCCGTGCTGCCGTGGCAGAAGGAAGGAGGAACGTCGTTTTTAAAATGTCCCAGAGCGCTCATTGAGTTCTCTCCCATGCGTCAGTCTGAAACGCTGGTGCCATGGCCTGGGGAGAGGCCTGGCTGTGGTGTCCCCATCCCCGTGCTGCCGTGGCAGAAGGAAGGAGGAACGTCGTTTTTAAAATGTCCCAGAGCGCTCATTGAGTTCTCTCCCATGCGTCAGTCTGAAACCTGAGGCTGACGGAGCGCGGAGGTTGCCTGGGCTTTTGAACAGCGTCAGGTTTTGCAGGTAGCTCGCGCAGAGAGGAGAGCTCGCATCAGATACGGAGCGAGAGGGATCGTCACGGGTCCCCACTGGTATCTTTCATCTGGCTCCGACTTGATGAGCTGGAGTTGTGCCTGTGCAGCTCCACCTGCCCGGGGAAGGACTCGGCTCCTACATGCAGAGTGAAGGGGGAGGAACCGACTTCTCCGGGCGGTTTGGTTTTTTTTCATTCTTCCTCTTCCCTTCCAGCCCTTTTTTTTCCACCAGCAAGAACTATTTGAGCATACCTTAAGTGAGGTCTGCCCCAAATTCCGCCAGAGGAAGGGCCTCTGTGGACAGACAGCGGTAGGAGGGGCCCTCACCCCCCCTCCACTGCTGAGTTTTCTCTTGTCTCGCGCTGTGCCGTGCTGGGCTGGTGCTCTGCGGTCGCAGCCCGGCGAGGAGCGAGGAGGCGGCGTGCGGTCCCAGCCTCGCTGTCCTCCTTGGTGGGACAAGGTGGCCCAGCGGCTCCGCTTGTTTGGGCTCCGGGCTTTTGATGTGTAAATACACACCTGTAGTGCACCAGTAAATCACCTCGTGCTCGTTAACAAACCCTGGCTTTCCTCCTCTTTTAAGATGAAAGTATTTTAAAAAGTATTTATGCTTACAAATATCTGCAGGGTGGGGGTCAGGAGGACGGGGCCAGACTCTTTCCAGTGGTGCCCAGCGACAGGACAAGGGGCAATGGGCACAAACTGAAGCAGAGGAAGCTACAGCAGAACCCGAGGAAGAACTTCTTCCCTCTGAGGGTG